GTGTCCAGGGCAATGCGGGAGCGTGGAGGTGTTGCCCACGGGGGTCTTCGTGCAGTCAGCCCCATCGCCCCTTCCACGCACTCGGGTCGGGCTGGTGCTGCCGACGGGCGGATGCACGCAGAGCCTCTACCACCGCTCACCCTGCACCGGGCGTGGGGAAGCCCATCGCGGTGTCTTGGTGCACCACAGGGAAAACGACAGAGATCGGGGTGGAAAAATAGAGCAGAAAGAAGAAAAAGACGCGCTCCGTGTTGTCTCCGTTGGATTTCGATTTTAAGGATCCATTGGAGAGGAACCTCTTGCTTTTGTGCTCATGCGATGCCGGGGGCGTTACGCGTTCTGCATAGCACGGTGGTGCCCTGGCTTAACCACAGCTCTTAGCCACCCTATATAACATTAACAATGTCTTAATCTTTTTTTCTTTTCCCCTCGCAGGCAGAGCAGATGAAGCGAATTTATCCCAAGGCTGAAATGGAGTGTTTTCCGAGGCAGTCAGCTGGGCCCCTGCGGGCTCACGGAGGTTTCCCATATGAAGAGCTGGGGGGACACGTTGCGGTAACATCCCCCTGCGATGAGGATGCTGCGCGGATCAGAAATGGAGCTGTACGCTGGGGTGTGGTGGATGGGTACCCCCTTCTGTGGTTAGGAACCCCACTTTGGGAAAAGCCCCTGCGGAAAAGAAAAGAGAGGCCTTCCTAAAGCAGTGCTTTACTTTAAACATATGCTTCATCATGGGAACACTGGAAGAAAAAGAAAAAAAGATCTAAGTGCTAAGAAACATGCACTCTAAAAACATTTACAGCTAAATTAGTGGCAAGGATGTTTGTTTACACCCCAGCAAAAGTATAAAAACCAGTGAAAAGGTTGCATGGAGAGCGTGTCCGGGATTGTAAGAAGCGCTGCCACTTCTAGTGTCTTTTTTCCTGAAAAAGCTGATTTTTATATCGCGCCCTTGCGCCGCTCCGTTTCCCAGCCGGCCCCATGTAGCTGAGCTCACACTAGGCTGGCGTTGCTCAGGATTTTGCCATTTTTAGCTGCAAGGGCCAAAGTCTGAAGGAGGTTGTAACCCTCAATTAGGGATCTGTTTGTGTAACTTCCTAATGTTCGGAGTGATTGTTTGGGGTGAGGGAAATATGCTGCTGTATGTGGTCCTTCCTGCCAAACTTGCAGCTAGAGCAGATCCTTATAGCCAAGCAATAAATCCCCAAAATGAAAGGTTTACGATGGAAATGCTGACAAACCCTTAACTAACACGTTACAAATGGCAGTGTTACAATTCAGTAGCTATAAGCTAAATTAGCAGCGGCACGGGCAGCCTTCAAGGATTGCTGTAGTGAGCCGGCCTTGTCTCAATGAAGATGTGCAGCGAGGCAATGGCTTTTAATTTGCTTTTAATCTTTCTAATGAACTTCTGTTGGTCTAACTTGCATGCAAAATGGGGGATGCCCCTTTGGTCTTTCATGAAGTTTTTGGATGACCGTTGGAAGAACATCCATCGGGCGAGAACAAGAGCTCAGTTGTTTTAAGGCATTTTTTCCTATAGAGGATGGAGTCCTTGTTCTTCGCAGTTTCCCGGAGCGCTGACCATTTCCCTTGCTGGCTGCCAGGTGCTATTGGGTGCTCCGGGAGGTCCCCATCACATGCACGAGCTGGGACAGCACAGCAAAAACTCTGTCACGCTGCTGGCACCCAGCAAACAGCACGATGTAAATTTTAATTGTAGTTTGATGCTTTCCCTGTTCCCCCTTCCCAGAGGCGTGCAGGGATCTGGGATCCCGCTGCAACACTGCCTTCCTCAGAATTAGCGCACCCTTGTACAGCGCCCTGCTAATGCCGAGGGAAATTTTATCCTGGCTTTAATGAGTTTAGGCTGAGCCTGGGACCTGCAAAGGCTTGTCCGTCTGTCATGTGCTGCACAGCGGTTCGTGTGCGGAGGGTTGGAGCGTGTGTGAAGTTCGGCGGGCGGGCGAGCCTCGGCAGGCTGTGGCAGGACCAGAGCAGCCCTGCCCCCAGGCTGGGGGGCTGCCCCAGGGGGGTGCGAGGGCTGCAGCCTTCCCCGGTGCCTGCGGGATGCCCTGACCCGGAGCGGGGAGGGGATGCTGGTAAGTACGAATGGGCTTCCGTGGACAGTGCATCACGGTGCCGTGAACAGGTTACCATCAGCTTTGAGTCCAGTGGTACCAAAAGACTTTATTATCCTTATTGTTCACAATTGCTCCAGCACAGTGCCCAGCCTTTAAGCTTGGCGTTTAGTTTCCCCTTGACACATCTTTTTGTTCTTAAAGTCTAAATTCTGCAGACAACATGACCAAATCTCCTTTGCCCTAGGTAGGATTCACCCTCCTCCTGTCCAGTAGCAGGCTCAAGTCCCCGTCTCTGCTGTTCAAACCATCTCCTCCTCCGGTCAGCAGCGCTTCCCAGCTGCAGAAAAGGCCATTTGTCTTCTGAGGACTTGTTAAGTAATTTTTTAAACGCGACTTGAGTTGCTGGTTTTGTTTACAGTAAAACACTTTGATTTGCCGTGCAGCGATTAGTTCATGAGAGCAGATGCTGAAGCAGAACAGAAAAATCTCTTCTTGAATGGTTACGTACCTAAAGCCTGCGGGGCAATGCCCAGGAACCAGCGAGGTGCCTTATGTGAGCCTGTGTCTCCCAATGCATACAAGTAAATTCTCTAGGAACATTACGTTAATCATCTTGCGTCAATAAGTAGTGCCGTGCCGTGTGCATCCCTGTGCAATGACTTTTTAGGAAATAAATTATCACGTTGTGAGTGGCCATGAAATAGAGCGGTCCAGCAAAGTGCCTGGGGCGGGAGCAGCTCGGAGGGAAGGGGGTTTCTGCTAGGGGAATCCATAGGGCTGAACGAAGAGATCCGATTTCTACATCTGGGTCTGGCCATAAATTTTTCTCGAGTACTTACTGTCTGTATATCGTCATTTGAATTTTATACATGTTATGGTTTGTTTATTCCTCCTTCCAGGTTGCTCCTTCATTGCTAAGAAATGAATTTGCTGCAGAGAAATTGGACAAACATGCTGCAGTTTCAGGGCACTACTGAAAAATCTCCTCTCTGCATTTGTAAACGGGAGATTTGCGCCGAAATATGTATTTGTTTTAGACACGACTTCGTTTCCAGCGTTCACTTTGATCAGGGCGCTTGGAAGGCGAGCTGTGTCATGTGGAAGGTTTGTCCAGTAAAAATACAATTAGAGGCTTCGGTTTGAGTGTTTGCGCGAACGATCGCTTGTGAATAATCTAGAGGCCAAAAATTAATCCCAGTGCTCTGTCTGCAAAAAACAGCAAGCTGGAGCGGTGCAGCTTCTCAAAGTCGTCCTGTTTCACTCTTGCACGAGCATTGTTAGAGTTTCTTTATATATTTCAATTTCTTACATCTCGGTGGGGAGGGCTGGCTTTTCCCCCGGTTCATATCCCTTCACTAAGAATTGTTTGGAAAATTTAGATGCTGCTCATGTGTGGTTTATAACAGTTATGAGCATAGATGCTGTGAAACAGAAGAAATACTGGTGTCCAAAACACCTCTGGTACCTCCTTGTACATCCTTGAACATGAAGACCAGGTTTGTGGGCTCAAAGTCACGGTTTTCCCAGCGTGTCATGCAGTGTGAAGGTGCCGTAGCTATTGCTCTGAAGCTGTTGTGTGTTTTGGATGACAACCCTGTGCAGGGATGGACAGAAGTCACAGTGCCTGGGAAGTGGGATCTTCCAAAAACAATACACTTCGCAAATAAAATCGAGCGGAGCAGAGAAGCTTGGTCAGCCAACTTCCATGGAGCAGGAGATGGGACGGGCTCCAGCAGGACCTCTGCAGAAGGACCCAGTGGCTATTTCTGTTTCCTTTGGTTCCGGATCACGTTTTTGTTGGATTATGCTGCTTCCAGCCATCGCCTCCCTTCATGGGAATGGGAGCTGTGGAGAAGGAAGGATATTGTGGGGCAAGTGTAGCGAGGGTTTGACTTGGTCTGTCCTGTGAGAGAGTGCAATGATGGCTTTTAGAGACAACAGGCAAGACAATGATATTTTCAAGTGTGATCCTATCCCTTGGACAGTATCCCGTGAAATTTCCCATCATTTTTTAGCTGAGAGAGTGGTCAGTCCCTATGGAGAAGCAGAAGTGATTGCATGTGGACAGGCAAATGCCAGCCATTTCCCTAATGCTCCCGGGGTGCAGTGGTTTCACGTTACCAAGCTGAAGATGAAAAATAGTAGGAATTAGCACACTAAGGGCTCTGCCTGCTACGGGGCAGGCAGACAAGGCAGGGCTCTTTGGTACAGAAGATGAAGAAACTGTAGGAAGTTCTCCAAGACAAGAGGGACCAGCTGGAAAAAGGGATGCCCCCGAGGGGAGGTCTGGGGAAGGAGCTTGAAGAAAAGCCAAAGCAAACAGTGGGTGCAGATGCTGAGGAGGAGAATACGGCTTGACGAGAGAGGAGGTGAGAAACAGTGAGCCGTCCTGAGCACAAGCCGCTTATGGGAGCAGAGACCATCTGCTCTTCACCGGCCTGAATGGTGCCAAGCGATATCCTGCATTCCTTTGTTCCCCGGTTTGAAGGGAATTGCAGGCTGCGAGCGTTTAAAGCCAAACACAGTCCCTGAGAGTTCAGCCACATCTTACCTTTTGTCTGAATTTCCTCCGTCTTCTTCTCCTCAAGCGTTTTCTCTTGCAGCCATTAGTTCATAGCACATTTTTCCACCTCGGATCTTGAGTAGGTGGATGAAAAGCCCAGGAGGACGTTGCAGTTGGCAGGAGTTAAACAAACTGTGCTGCCCCGGTGCACACAGGGTGGGATAGTTGGCTAAGTCTCTTTTTGTGGCTTTAGCCAGATAGCTGGGGAATTCAGAGAGGATAAAATGACCCCCAAGAAGTACATGCAGCTCGTAGAAGTGGCAGAGGTCAATAAACAGAACCTTCTTACAACTTAGTAACCCGAGTAATAATAAGGTCTTAGAGCCGTAAACCTG